ACAATCCAAACATACTATCAAAATGGGCAAATGCTCACCTGTTACACCGGTTTTAGGATAAAGAAACTGGAAGAATTCCTCAGGGATCAGTCCAAGACGAACTTTTCCTCCATATTCAGGAAGAGGTGGTACAGGGGCAAGACTTGGCTGTCCAGTGTGAAAGATCCTTGTTGCTTGCACAACCCTAAGGTAGTAATGACACAAATTTAAAGCCTATTCTTTAAAGAGAACACAGCATATGAAGTTAGTAGAAACAATGAATGGGGATAAGGACTGAGGCAACAAGAAAGAGACGGAGACCAAGAACAGAGAGGTCATAACAGAAAGAGAACAGACCAAGAACAGGAAAGTTAGAGTCTAATAATTAGCTGTGTGACAAGGCAAATGACTTACATAAAGTCATATGTAATCTTCTACCCAAAACTAGAATCCCTTTTGTAAGTCTCATCAGTTATCTATTATCAGCACGGAAATATATAAGAACACAGACCAGAATGGTACTTGGCGTATGTTAAAGTCCTATGTCAGTGGTTAACTATTACATGTCCACTGTGTTATGAGCTCCCTGATGGCAAGAACTTTGACCTTTTTGAATATTCTCTGGGATGGGGTGCTGACCAACGCTATGTGAAACAGGTTTGTTTCAGTGCTGGGTAGCTCTAATTATGTTCATCTTTGAATTGAACTGCTATGTATGTCTTGAAACCTCCTTTTATTGGTTCTGATTTTATTTTTCTCTGTACGAAAGATACGCTCATACTAGTATATGTGGGTTAAACATCTCACTCTCCACACAATCCTGACTGTCCACCACAAGGAGCTCTCTGATTTTGTTTACAAAAACTAGGTACACAGAACTGAACATAATACTCTTAACACAGCATGACCAAATCATTCATTCTACAAATATATATTCTGAACTTGCTATTGCCATTATTGTATTGTACTACTACTGTATTGTACTACAGTGGATTTGAAAAATTATTCTTGTACTGTAGTAGCCTAAGATTCTATTTTTAGCAGTTATAGCAAATTGGTGTCTCATTAGGTTTCAGATTAAATAAAATCCACTAGTTGTTCTCCTATTTGCTGTCAAGCGTAGTCTCCTTCAAATACTCGGTATGTTTTTGTCCCAATCCTCTGTACCTCTCTCCCCTTGCAATGTAAGAGTTTATATTATTTCTTTGATTTTGGTTCACTGCTTGTCTTTTTAACATTATTTTTATCTTTTTGAACTACAGTTTACACTCTATAGTATTTTCTTTTAGTTTCAATACCCCATCAACTTTTGAAATCTGAGAATCATGCTCAAGATTCTTTCATTTAAATCAGGGTTTCTCAACCTTAACACTACTGACAGTTTGGACTACTGACAATACTTTGTCGTAGAAGACTGTTCTGTGCACTGTAAAGGGATTAGCAGTATCCCTGTGGTCTGTACACACTAGAACCCTGGTCAGCAAACTGTGGCTCGCAAGGCACATATGGCTCTTTGGCCCCTTGAGTGTGGCTCTTAAACAAAATACAGACTTCTGCGCATGGGCCACGAAGTTTCAACCGCACTGTACGTGCGCGCCCGCATGTGGTATTTTGTGGAAGAGCCACACTCAAGGGGCCAAAGAGCCGCATGTGCCTTGCGAGCCAGTTTGCCAACCACTGCACTAGAAGCATCTAGTGTAGCATCCCCCCTCCAAAATGTCCCATGGAGGGCACACTGGCCCAGGCTGAGAACCGCTGATTTGAATCACAGCACTGGAGAATTGGCTTTAGGCTGACACAAATCCTCTCCTCAACTGGCTGTCGTAGTTCAAGCCCTCATCTCTTGCCTGAACTTAATAATCCAAAACCTGGTCTCTCTTCTTCTGGTCAAATACCCTTAATCCTAGCCCCTGACACACTGCTGCCAAAATTTTTAAAATGTACATTTTACTTAAAGCATACAGAAAAACAAACTACTTAATATAGCACACATGATTCAGCATCTGTCAAATTTTAGACTCTCACCTTTCCTCATTCTCCTACCCTCTAGCCATGAAGTATTCACAGCTCTCATAAACCAAAAACACCCACACACGCTTCATGCTGCTCCTTCTGCCTGCTATGCCTTTCACTTAATAACTGCCAAATCCAACCAGCCTTCAGGACATCTCTAGTACATCCTTTATCGGGGCCTCTCCAATCCTGGGGTAACACTTATTCATTCCACAAACATTCATCACTGATTTTCCACTTATGTCAGGTCCTGAAAGCACAGCAACAAGCACACCAAGTCCCAGCCTTTTTAACACTGTTGGAAGGCTGTGGGGAGTGTGTGTATAGGTCTGTACGCTTTCAGGTAGCTATTTCGGGTTCTATGAGGAAAAACGGAGCAAGATAAGGGGACAGGGAGCAACAGAGTGGGAGCAAGGCGTTTTGTAGGAGGCCAGAGGACACCTGAGCTACTGACCTTGGGGAAAGAGAGAAGAGCAAGTACAAAGATCTGCAGCAAAAAATAAGCTCCAAAGTTATAAAAAGAACAGCAAGGCCTAGGGCCACAGAATGAGCTAAAAGGACAGTGACTAAAGAGGCATGATAGGACCCGCGCATTTTGGGCCTTCTGGCGATGCAAGCTTGGATTTATTTCAAGTAGGATGGGGAGCTCTGGAGGGTTCAGGGGGGTGGGGTGAGGAGACGGACATAATTCCTACTGAGAGAAGGGGCCGTAATGGGAAAGAAGAGATGCAAGGAGACTAGTTGAGAGGCTACCAGAATAGCCCCTGTGAAAGTTGATGGCGGTTCGTACCCTAGGGTGGTAGCGGGAGAAGTGGTCAGAGTCCAGGTACAAACTGGTGGAAGGACCTTGCTGATGCATTAGATATGGAAAGTGAAAGAAAGAGAAATCGAGGATGTTCCTTGTATCTTATATATGAATCTTGTGTATCTTATTTATTACCTGTATTATAATTATTTACTTGTCTGCATGGAATCTTTCTTCTCTGATAAGTTGGAAGCAATCATAGCTTTGCTTTATTACATACTCAAAAATTACAGATAGATTAAAGCCACCTTTTCAAGCCACAGAATAGTTATCACATTTTGCAAAATTTACAGCTAAAAACAGAAATCACCCTCCCAAATGGACATGTTTTATGAAATAATATTAATCTAACAGCTGCTAATATTTACTAAGCATATACTACGTTTCCGGCACTAGTTTTATAGTTTCACAGGGATTAAATCTTTTAATTTTCATAACCCACAATGCACAATTATCTTCATTTTGCAGATGAGGAAACAGAGGTCACACAGCTGGTAAGTGGAGTTCTAGCTTTGGAGTTCTTACGCTAACCCAGTGATTTTCAAGCTTTTCATCTCGTGGCACACATAACTAATTAAAATCCTGCGGCACACCAAAAAATGTATTATATTTTTGGCCGACCTGACCCCTCCCCCCCACAAAAAGATATAATTTTGATACATTCACTTGATGGCCATTGTTCTGTGGGCTGTCTTCATTTTTTTATTTGACAGTTGAAGGGAAAAGAGGTCAGTGCCCTTGACTAAATAGTCAGGCGTTGCATGTTTTAAAATCCCTGTGGCACACAGGCTGAAAATCGCTGCTCTAAACCACTGCTCTACAGCTACCTCCTCCCTGGACTGTCAGCTCCATAAAGGCAGGCCCTCAGCCTTGCTCATTTTCTATCTCTGACTGTCTGGGTGGCAAATAAATACCTATTGAATCAATAGATTTCCCTAACTCTTATCTCCTGGCAGTAAAAGTCGGAATCTGGGAGACAGACCGCAAACAACTCGCTTCATTTTTGTTTTACTTTAAAAAAACCTGTTCACTCATATGTGGGCTATGAAACAGAAAGCAACAAACTAACAAACAAAAACAAATAAACTCAGACACGGACAACAGTCTGACCAGAAAGGGGCTGAGGGAAGGCTGATGAGGGTAAAGGGGGTGAAATACACAGCGAGGGAAGGAGACTCAATGAGCACACAATGCAGTCTACAGGTGATGCCTTACAGAACGGTGCACTTGAAACTTAATGTCACCCCAATACATTTAACTAAAAACAAGGCAAAAACTTGTCCTTGGGTACGCAAAAATTCCGAGCACAGGAACTCTGATTCGCAAGGTGGCAGCTCTGTCTACCTGAAGGTCACAAGGGAGAGGGGCGGAGCTTGGAAGACATCAAACCAGTTTATAGTTTAGTTAGAACACATCGCCTAAACCCTGCATCTTTGCCATAATGTGATACGACGACGATATTTTAGGTAGTTCAGAAGCCCCAGTGTTTGAATGAGGCTTTATACGCGTTCCAAAATTACCCCCAGAAAAGGAAATTTCTGGCCCAAAGCTGAGAGGTCACAGAGAAGCGAAAGGCGAGGACAAAAAACAAGGGCGAAGGGGAGCATGACGCCCCTCACTTACCCGGGACCGAGGAGGGCGGCGTTCTTCAGGGAGGGGGCTGCAAACACACAAGCGCAGGTCAGCAAGGTCAAGGTGACATTTGGTTCGCCCCTCCCTTGGTCCCCGCGGGGCCCGACGACTAAGGCCACTCACCTCTCTTTCCTGTCCACCGAGACCTCGCGCCCACCTTCCCAGCGGCGCTAAGAACCCCCCACTCAGGCCCCAGGCTCGCTAGCGTTTCTTCGACCACTGTCCTCCCACCCGCTCCGCGTAACTCCAGACGCGCTTCTCTGCGGTCACTCCGGTAGCCCCACCCAGGCCTACACCTCTCACCCGCTGCGGCGGCTGCAGAAAACACCACCCGAGACAGCATGGTCAGCGAGGGAAGGCTCGGCGGTCCTGGCGTCCCGGTGACCTGGACGAAGTATTCTACCCGAGTCCGAGCAAGATGGTCGCCCGCAAGTCTCGCGAGAAGAGAACGCGAACCCTCGTTCCCTCAACTTCCTCTCCAATTGTTTTTTCTCGCGATAAGAGGCACGTAGCGCGGAGAACCAGTCCCGGAGGGCGGCAGTCGGAAAGCGGAATGGAACCGTAGAAGCAATTCTCGCGAGATGTAGAGTGCCAGTCGCCTGTCCAGAGGGGCGGAGGCCCAGGGGGTACCACGTGGGGACTGTCGGAGCTGAGCCTCCCGCGGGCGTCCAGTTTGGGTCTAGGTTGGCATTGAAATCGTGGAGATGAGGAAGGAAACCCCGCCTCCTCTAGTGCCCCCGGAGGATCGCGAGTGGAACCTTCCCCCTAATGCACCCGCCTGTATGGAGCGGCAGTTGGAGGCTGCGCGGTACCGGTCGGGTGAGCAGAGATCCCGGGCCTGGGGCTCCCTCACCCCGCCTCGGAGCGACCCTTCCCGAGACTGTTCCTTCTGGCCCGCCCCTGCCCCTCCTGCCACCCTGATCCATCCCTCGCTGAACTCGGTCCCCAACCGTGCCCCGCGAGCCGGAGCTCACATCCAGCCTCAGTCCGCGTGGTTTTCTGGGCTGTCGCCATGGAGACGAACCCTTACATTCCTCGCGCGCTGACAGCTTGTACCTCCCTTAGATGGGGCGCTCCTGCTCGGGGCTTCCAGCCTGAGTGGCCGCTGCTGGGCTGGCTCCCTCTGGCTTTTCAAGGACCCATGTGCCGCCCCCAACGAAGGCTTCTGCTCCGCTGGAGTTCAGACGGAGGCCGGAGTAGCTGACCTCACTTGGGTGGGGGACAGAGGTATCCTAGTGGCTTCCGATTCAGGTGAGTCACTGTCTCCTCAACCCCACGGGTGCAATGAAGGCCGAGGGGGGTACAGGGGGGGCTAGGTTCAGTCTTTCATGCCCCACACTCAGTGCATGGGGTAGCTTGAGGGTGTTGGTCCCTCAGGAGAACTCCTGTGTAGGTGGGAATACCTTTTCCAAAATTCTAAATTGCCTGGTGGGAATTTCTAGCAAAACTCATAACAAAATTAAGAAATGGGTTGGAACCATTTTTTCTTCCATGTAACCTGTCCCATAACCCCCCAATCCAGACCAAGTCTAATCTTAATCTTAGAGATAGTGTTGAAGCCAATCTCTGGTGCCTCTTTCCATATTTTCCCATTTTCTTCTGAAATGTCTCTATTCTGCTTTCTTTGTTTTGAATGTCAGACTCAGTAGTGGAGATTTTGTTATTAAAAAAAAAAGAAGATCAGAATTGGCATGTTGGCAGGCATTACATGAAATTTAACATTGAGCCTCTTGACAGTTGAGCTTGAACACTACATATATTCAAGACAACTTTTGGGGTGTTTTCCGTACTTAACCAGTCACTGTGCAAGCCGTTGAGTTATTCAACGTATTTTTAAAGACTCTGCAAGACATTTATTGAAACTGTTCAACAAATATTTATTATAATTGAAAAGCTTTAGCCACACTGGACTGTGTGTACGTAGACCATTGTGGAGATGTCATCCTCCCCCCCCCCCCACCCCCCGAACGTATTTTCCAGTATTTTCTCACTGGAAGTGGGGTAATGGATTTTTACCAGCTGGTTCATCTTTTCCTAGAAGCCTTCGCCACCTAACGGTTTGGACTGTTGTTAGGAAAAGAGTAATACCAGCATAAAGGCAAATGGCTTGGAAGTTAGCCAAACCCTGTAATAATATGGACTTTGCTTCTATAGAAATAACTTAATTTGTTAGCTCAGTGACAATGGACTACTTGAGTCCTAGAAGTGGATTACTGTGTTGGTGTAATTCCAGCTTGTTCCCTTCACCCTCCACCCTGTCCCTAACAGGTGCTGTTGAATTGTGGGAGCTGGATGAGAACGAGACGCTCATTGTCAGCAAGTTCTGCAAGTATGAGCACGATGACATAGTGTGTACCGTCAGCGTCCTGCGCTCCGGCACCCAGGCTGTCAGCGGTAGCAGAGACTTCTGGTGGGTCCTTGTCTCTAAGCCTCCTTTGGATGTCCTCACTGTTTGATTAGCCTTATAATATAACATTTTAGACTCATTCTAAGATCCCAGTGACTGATTATGGCGTATCTCTAAGGTGTCCGTGGAGATTTTGCAACCCGCTGAGAATCTGTTTCCTTTTTCTTCTTAGCATCAAGGTCTGGGACCTCACTCAGCAGATGGTACTGAATTCATACCGGGGTGAGTGCCCGCTCTTTTTTTCCAGTCCTGGCCTTAGCCATTTTATTCATTTATATATATTTTTATTGACTTCAAAGAGGAACGGGGAGAGAGAGAAACATTCATGATGAGAGAGAATCATTGCTCGGCTGCCTCCTGCACGCCCCCTACTGGGGATGAGCACGCAACCTGGGCATGTGCCCTTGACCGGAATGGAACCCGGGACCCTTCATCCCGCAGGCCGATGCTCTACCCCCTGAGCCAAACCAGCTAGGGCAGCTGTTTTATTTTTATTTTCTTTTTCGACTCTTTGTTTCAACTTCGCTTGGATGTTAGGGGCAGCAGGTCCTTGCTCTCCTGCCTGACTACTACAGGCAGCTATGCATTCAATTAGAGGAAAGAGAACATTCAGGAAATCTATTCCCTTAAAACGTAGTGTCCAGAATTCCCGTGAGGCATGCGTCCTGCAGTATGAAGATTACTCTTCTAGGATGTTAACTATGAAATCTTTCACTGTCCCAGCTCAGCCCTAATTTCTCTCTCACTGTCTTTGCTAATTAATTTTTCCCAAGCCCGTTTTAGGTTTTATAACTCCATCAACATCTCCTCTTAGGTTTTGTTTCATTCAAAATCTCTCGTGAAATTTATTAAATTGCATCATGAGCCGAGGCCTCCTTCTCCCCCTCCCCCCTGCCCCTTGATAGGGTCCGGCTGCTGGATAGTAGTGGCTTCAGCTTCTCTCACATTTCTCTCCCCTTCCTGTACAGCTCACTCCGGGCAGGTCACCTGTGTTGCTGCCTCCCCCCACCAGGATTCCGTGTTCCTTTCGTGCGGTGAGGTGAGATACAGCCTCTTCCCTTCCCACTCCCCAGCCACAAGCCAACCCTCAAGGCCAAAGTCTAGTGTGGAGGCCTCCTGGCCCGCGGCTGCTTCTTTGGAGTCTGAAGCCCTTTTTCTCTTCCTCGGCTTCTAGGACAGTAGAATTTTACTCTGGGATACCCGCTGTCCCAAGCCAGCATCACAGATGGGTGAGTCGGAGAGCGTGGTGGGAGAGTGGGACTGGGACCCACCCAGGAGAGGCTTTCCTTGGCCAGAGTCAAAGGGAAAGTCATCAGATGCCAGTTGCTGTGACATAAGTTACATAACCGCTCTCTTTCCCACTGAGGCTCTGCTGACCTCAGAGGAAGGGCTGGTTCCTGGGTGGTGATTTACTTTCCATTTCCTGGATGGGTCAACAAGGGAGCCAGAGTTGAAATCTTCATGCTTAATGCTTGAAACTTGCCTGCGGCTTGTGTCCAGAAAGGGCAGGAGGCTGGTGCGTCAAGGATGAGGACCTGGCTGCCTTCGTGGGGTTTGAGAATCCGAATAAAGAGTTCCTGGGACTTAGACTGCATCACCTGAGAAGCATCTTCTCGGAGCTGGGCTCTGGGTCTCATACGAACTCCCTTCTCTCCTTTGCAGGCTGCAGTGCCTCTGGTTACCTTCCTACCTCACTAGCTTGGCATCCACAGCAGAGCAAAGTCTTCGTCTTGGGTAAGGGAGCACCTCAAACTGTGTGTTGACTCTAGGAAGCGGGAGGATGAGAGTGGGAGTGCCAACTCCATAATGTACAAGGCTCTGGCTGCTCTGCCTCAGCACACCGGGCACCACATGGATGATGCTGCCGGGGCCTGGAGAGGGGGACCATCCTAACGTGGTTTTAGTTCAGCTTTGGACAACATGACTTCCTCCCCCAGGGGCTTTGAGTCCTGATTGTTCTGGCTCTTGCATCCTGGGTATGACTAGAAGTCGTGGGCCACATGGCACGGGGATCATGACACAGCAGGTCCTTGCATAAGGTCACTTCATTCAGCATCGTTTCATAACATTGATGAGATGCCACAGGAACTTAAATCTGGTTTATATCTACAAGCCTATGCAAATTGCTTTCATTATATGTTGTTTCACTTGCAATTACAATCCATCGGTGATGTTAAGCGAAGACTTACTATTTAGGGAATTTCTTTCTACTGTACATAGTTGTGCTATCATGGTGACAGGGTTTGCGGTTAAACTGATAACTACATCATCCATTAACTTAATTTTCACAACCACCCGATGGCTACTTACGCCTATTTAATGAAAGAGAAAACTGATCCTCAGAGTGGTTAACTTGTCCATCCTCGTGGGACTAGCATTCAAGTCCAGGTCTGGCTGAATGCCAAGCCCGCACTCCTAACCCCTGTGCTGCGCTCTCACTTTTCTGCAGGTGATGAGAACGGCACTGTCTCCCTGGTGGACACCAAGAGCGCAAGCTGTGTCCTCAGCTCAGCTGTGCACTCCCAGTGTGTCACTGGGCTGGCGTTCTCCCCACACAGGTACTGTTCTTTGTCACCAGGGCCTGCCGGGGACACCTGGGCACAGCGAGGGGACTTGCTTATGTCACCCAAGCACTAGGAAGTTCCTTAAAGCAGACATGGCTCTGCAGAGGTTTCGGAATGTCAGTGGTCTCTTAAGATGGTGGTCTCTTAAGTCAGTGGTCTCTTAAGTGGTCCTTTTTTGGGTTGTGAGGTCCCTGTCTGCAAATGGCTTACATCCAGTTCAGCACCCAACACAGTGAATACTGCAGGTCTCTGGGACAGTGTGGTTGAGAAGCCCGTGTTTCTGGGTTATTGCTGGAGCTGCAGGGAGGGACCAGATGGGGTGGTTCGTTGCCAGGACGATTGTCCACCCTGGATTTTTTCCATTTCCCTCATCTTTCCTTGGAACTTACAATGTCGACTTGAACGGTAGCCAGACCTTAACCCAGCGTGGGGATCAGGCCCTCTTCTGGGGTCACTTTAGAGGAGGGTTGGGAGCTGGCCCACCGGGGTTTGTCTTGGGTTTGTCTGTCCTGGGACCCATGGGCTTCCCTTCCCTCCCTCTAGCGCTCCCCTGCTGGCGTCTGTCAGTGAAGACTGCTCCCTTGCTGTGCTGGACTCGGGCCTGTCCGACGTGTGAGTGCCAGGGGAGCTCTGTGGGTGGGAAGCGGGGAGGGGAGCAGCGGGGCCAGGTCCTTTTCCTTTTCAGGAAAGTGCATTGCCTCTGTCAAGCGGACCAGGTGGGGGAAGCGGGCGGAGTGTTGACCCTCTCCCTCCTGGGGCTGCTTCACAGCCAGCTCTGCCCCTGGTAGAGGAAGGTGGTGGGAGCGGCATTTCTGAGACTGGCATGCCAGCCTCCTAGAGGGCAGGCTGCCCTCTTCCCATAACGAATCTCTTAGTGAATTGGAGCCTGTTACCAGGTGAAGAGCACCAGGTAGAAGGTCTGTTTTGTCTTCCTTCTTGGCCATGACTTGTGGTCTGAGCTTGGCTCATGTCCCTGCTCTTGCTCTAGCTTGTTTCTTTGTCTATGAAAATAAGGTTCAGTGAGGTCCTCTGGGGGGTGATACCTGACGAAGTGTGTGTAATGCATCCCAACAGTGTGCCTGGATATGGTGGGTTCTCTCCTCCTGTCCCTGCCACGCTCAAACTTTCCTTTCCACTTTTAGGTTCAGAAGCCGAGCCCATAGAGACTTTGTGAGGGATGCTACATGGTCTCCGCTCAATCCCTCCCTCCTCACCACCGTGGGCTGGGACCACCAGGTCATCCACCACGTGCTGCCCACAGAACCTCTCCCAGCCCCTGGACCTAACAGTGTTGCCAAGTAGACTGGGTTTAAAGGAATAGCAAATCCCCCAGGAGTAGCCTCGCCCTTTGCCCTCTCGGTCTGAGAGACCACACAGGAGCCTTTTCAAATCCAGGTCAGCTGATACCCCAGACCCGGGCAGTCACTAGGCATGTCTCCCAGCCTGGGTGGCTGATTCTGGGATCCTTAGTCATAGGGAAGAAAACTACCTGGGAAATGGATAGATACATATGTCTGAGTGTGTGTGTGTAGTTTTTTGGTCGGGAGAGGGAAGCCCACCCTCTCCACCCCCTAAAAACGAGTTCATGAGGCTTTTATGCTTCCCATGTAGCTGTGCGCGTGG